GAAGCTACCTGAAATCACGCTCCACGGAGCAACCTTCTCAAGTGTGTGTGTACTCAGAGGCTTATATAGTGTTTACTTCGCGAATCAGTGAACACGTCAGAGTCGGCCAGAGCTACAATCATCCAATTGGTCGGTTCTACCACATCCGAAGTGGGCGGTTTGTCTCAAAGTGCACGCTTCAGCACCGGGGCATTGAGTTGCAGTCCATGCTTGAGAATTTGCTTTGGGGAACAAACTCCAAAATTCTGCGACTCCCTTAAGTGGATACGACGTACACAAACTTGCGGCACTTGCTCCTCATCCAAGAGGATCCAAGAGAGGTTCAAGTCCGGAATCTTCTTGTACACACCATCTGCATCCATCCTCTTTGGCAGGCATTTGAATTGATCGAGATCCGTCATTCTTTGGGGGGCACAACTGCATCAGCCCCAGCGGAGCGCCAGGAGACGGACACGGGGAAGTTCGGATGGGCGACCTATGCCACCGGCGTGGTGCATGGCTTCTCGGCGCGTGTGGCGTGTGTTTGGGAGGAGATGTCATGTTACATGTCATCCTCCAACAGCAGCAGATCACAGGTGACGTTTTCGCAGTGTCCGTTTTCGCAGTGACGTTTTTGATGTCTCGTCGTGCAGATCATCTTCTTGATTCTACTTTTAGAAGGACCATGAAGGACCTAACTTCTCGCTCCCCTCAGCGTCATGGCTTGTTATTTGCCAGATGCCCTCATGGAACCCAAAACTAGGGTCCAGCCCCAGTCAACTACACCTTTCTGCCTGCCAAATCTCATGGCCTACATGGAAGTATATAGCCTACTGGGCCTATTCAACCATCTCCTCCCTATAGTACCAAAAAATCGCTCAACTTGCTACTTGCTCGCTCGCTCGCTCGCTCAGCCTTAGCCTTCTCCTATGAGGCTTGTCTTTAGACGCCATCATTTTCATCCTCCCAGCCTTCTCTCTGCCGCGCTTTGCTGCGGTGGTCCACGTCTTTGGCGTCGTCACGGGCACCCTCTTCTCCATGGGATGCTGCACGCACCTCGACGAAGGGACGAGAGAGGAGAGTCCCGGTCTTCGGCCAAGACTAGACTGTGAAGACGTGTCTTACTACGTAGCAAGGGCATCGCTACTAGTAGCTAGAAGCTACTAGTAGCGATGCCCTGAATAACTAGTTGCTCATACTGACTCATACTCCAACAAGAGGCGATGCCCAGTATGCGTCTGTGACTTGAGAGCGATAGGGCTTGGTTGATGTTCCTATCCTGTCCAACCCCAAGTGGTGAGGATGTTGTTTCTTCAATGCAAAGGACCTCCTAAGTTTCAAAGTGACACATGTGTTTCTCTCAACATCTCTCAACCTTCCCTGCGCGCACACGTTCGAACAGCTAAGACTTCCGAGAGGCCACTTGGTGATCCAAATCATCCCTGAAATAGAACCCTTCCCAAGTAGATCCAATGAGGTATGGACGGCATTGGACGGCAAACAAAAAAGATCTTTCCAAACCAATTCGTTGGCATCACAACCTGGTCACTTGCCGTGGGGGGATTTCCATTGGCCATGGGTCAGTTTGGGCTGTCCTCCACTCGACGAGAAGACCGGTTCCTCCAAGCCTCCACTCAATACAATTACAATGGTTTCCTGAGAGCGGAGCGCTGTCGTTACTGTCGTTGTTTTCATCGAACTTGCGGACGTTGTAGGTTGAAATTATTGGAGGCTCTTTGGTGGTAAGTACCGGTAGCGACTTTCCTCCCAAAGAGCCATTAAAATATGGGATTCCATACCTTGGAAACCCTCTTCCTGACATTTCTGAGTTTTGAGGGTTCCTGTCATCAGATTTCCTGACAAAGAAAGAACTAACAACCAGGTGGTTTCAATAAAAGGACTTGCGTGTTGTCAGGTCCGACACAGAAGAAGTGCCAAAACAGCACCCTCCGCCATTGAGGACTGTCCTCAGCCTCTTCTTCCGCCAGTCGCTGGTCGGAAGAAGCTTTTTGTCGCCGGCCAGCCCTCAAACGAGCGGCAAAGAGTCAGATGATTGGGCGGGTTGTAGCAATGGTGGAGCTTCGTGTCGTGGAAAGATGATGGACCAGGCCTTTTTATATAGGTGTTGTGGGTGTACTAACAGCCACTACACAATCATTTTGGAGAATTGTGCAATGTTTTTGCATCTATACATTATCACTTAAATTATCACCATTTATTACCTGTATTCCGTTCCAGCAAATTTCAACAGACTTGGAGGTGACAACCATGTTCGGAGAAGAATTTCTTTGCACACCTGGAAACCTAACCGTGCTGTGGAACTCACTTTAACAAGGTTTTAAACATCAACCATGGCAAAAGGGTGTCATCAGTGAACAGGATTGCTCTTTGCACCCGGACATCACCCCACCAGGTGGTGGCCCCACATGCTCGAAGTGAGCCCCGAAATCTAACTATGCACTCTAGAACTCTAGCACTTGTGCCTTCTGATCCATCAAACACCCCTCTGGCCCAGCCCCACCGCAACATGACCAGCCAATACACCCCGGCCCACCATGGCCCGGGCTCATTTTCATCACCCTCCACTCCGACCCCCAAAAACACGTTTGCTTCCGACGGAGGTCCCCGAGGCTGAAGTTGGTCTCCGTGAGCGCCTCATCGATCTCCCTCCTCTTGGGTTCCTCGGTCCGAGCCGCAGCGCAGCGCGTGCAGCAGCGCGCGCCGTGGGTTTTGGTGATCACACTTCGGAGGTTCACAGAGTCATGCTCTGGAAGAAGGACATTGACATGAATGGCAGAATAAGTTGGACAAATTTGGACAAAGACAATTAGATAAATGTGTTGTTCGGATCCCAGATGACATCATATCATATGATTGTTGGATAGAGGCAAGGCCTGGCAAGGCCATAGGATGAGGATAAATGCGACCCTTTTCGAAGCCGATGTTTGATGTGGTTGCCCAAGAGAAAAGTGGAATGGGGGACCTTTCTGGCAGTTAGCCACCATCAGGTTTCAGCAGCTGGCGGAAGACCTTTCAATCCCTTCAATGTCAAGGGTCAGTTGAACTGAACTACCACATAATACCACGATTTCAGCCGGTTGCATGCCTTTTTCGCATTTTGTTGCGATTCAGGGATTGACATCACCGACATCACCGTGGGGCCCGTCCACGGTGCGGCGGTTCTTTTCCGAGGCTTGTGCATCCTGATGTCCTGCTGTGGGATCTCGATCCCGCTCCCTGGGCTTGGCCCCTTGGACCAAGAGGGTGCCCAGAGAAGTGTTCCCCAGATGAGGGCAAGGGTGAGAAGTGGGTGCTGCTTGGATGGTGGGATGTTGGAATCCATATGGATGCTACCTGAGAGCTGCAGAGTGGATTTGATCGACATCAAGAACAGATATCTAGCTGAGGATGTACGTTTCGCCGGATGGCGTTTACTCTGCAGGGAACCCACCAAGGGGACCTGGATTCTCCAAAAGGATAAGGATGCGCACACCAAGAACACATGATTCCATATGATTCGTCTTCACATGGCTCTTTGCATGCCTTGTTAGCACGTGTTGGTTCCTTTGAGGATATTCTTCCAAGACAGTGACAAAGGATTCAGTTCGGCCGACGCTCAAGAGATTCTTATATAACTCAACCTATTACGGGTAATGGCCTACGCATGCAATAGCTCCATCAGTGTTTTGTGTTGGTTGAAGCATGTGATAGTTATTCTTTTGCTGGGGATGGTGGGGCACCAACAAAGGGTTGGAGAGTGGCGACGTCGGCCATTGAACTTGGCAAGCAGGTTGATGCTGAAATCGTGGTGAATCCTTGTGCTGAGATCCTTGATAGAATGTTTGCATGAGAAGATTCGGCTTCACAAATCTTGAACGAATTTTCTAACTTAAGACAAGCACAAAAGATCCCGTAATCCAATAGTTATAGTATAATTAATTTGATCTAATGTGTCTTTTCTATTTAATATAGGTTTTATATATCAATATATTGATCTTATATTTTACAATATACAATTATTGAATTGAATAATTAATAGATTATACATAATATGAATATAATTATATATATATATTATATTCTATTTCTAAATATATTTTTGATTATATATTTGTGATATTTTTGGATATTATATTCGATATTCGATAATATAAATGATATATATTACGAAAGATAATCGATATTTGATTTGAATTAGGAAAACGAACGAAATGAATTAAAGGAGGTATGGGGGATGGTCGCGACGAAATTTATTTCGAAAAAGGGGAATTTAGATTTTGGGGATATATTTAAGAATGAAATTACATATTTGTTGGGAAGAATATAATATCGACGATATAATTAATAATTTATTATTACGAGGGAATTTAGAATTTTTTAATAGGAATGAAGGGATGGGAATTGATATGAAATATAGGAAAGAGGGAATATTGAAATGGATTGTAATTTTTTTAGAAACATTAAATATTGGAATTTTTTATATTTAAGAAATAATATTATAGGGAGGGAGGGGTCTATTTTTAAAGATATCGCATAATTTGGGAGGAATTAGAGGGGGAAAATAGGATATGATATAATAGGATTTGGTAGCAAAAGAGGATTTGGAATATTAAATTTATTTGGATATATTATTTTTAATGGCGAAGATATTTGTTGCATTAAAATAATATTTGACGTAAATTTATAAAATTTTGTGGTTCGTTGATGGTAGGAAAGATTATAATATTGAATAGATAGAATTTAACTTGATTGGGGAATTTTTTTTTAACGGATAAATAAAACATAATTCTTATTATAAGGGCATTTTTATGGACGAAATAGGTATAATGGAAGAGGACGTAATAGGAAAAGAGGAAATGCAAATGATAATTGCTTGGGAATATCCTTTTTCTCTGATGAAGAGGTTTTTGACTAGACGCAAAAGATTATCCTATATGAAATGGGAATTCATGTAGAAAATGAGAATAATTGGAGGAGATAATAGGAAAAGAAATGGGAATTTCATTAGGGTTTTCGTATTTATCCGCTATAAATCTTTACGGTGGTTGGTTTTCGTATTTTTTTTAGATATATATTGTTTTATATTTTTTCTTTATTAATAATATTTAATTAATATATATTATTGGATTATTTTTTGTATTATATTTCTATTTTCTATTTGTAAAATTTTAGGATGAGGTGATGATTTTTTACATATTAATGTTTGATTATAAATATTTACCTAAATATATATTCTTATATATTAATTGATTTAATTCTTTTTATATAATATAATTTTTAGGAATTATATAATGAATTTAATCAATATATTCATTTAATATAATACAAAATATATATTATTTTAATTTTGAATATTGATATATATATATTTTTCAATATATTTAATATTTTTATATTTTACTTAAATATATATATATATATTATATTATTATTTTTTTTTTTTTTTTCATATTTTTGGGAATTATTAAATATATTTAATTAATAACATAATTTATGCATTTTTTGAATATCTATTTATATAAATAATATATATAAATAATTTTCGATATATTATATTATATGATATATTTTTTATAGATATATAATTGATATATTGTTATATAGGAAATATATATATAATATAATTTGATAATTGTTTTATCGAATATGATATATATATTTTTATTATATATAACAATATAAATATATAATATATATATATAATATTGAATTTATATTATATATATAATATAGGCTATTTAGTATTAATATATATATATGAAATTAATATCAATTTTCTAGATAATGATCCATTAAATTAAACATGAATTTTATATTTTAATTTCTGTTATATATATAAATATATTTCATATTAATATATATATTCTTTCATATTGTCCATTCAGCAAGTTCTATCTTTATCCAAAAAGGATATATTCATATTTAATTCTTCTGTGAATGGAATTAAATACGAATAAATATATTAAATTATGATATATTATATTAATCGATCAATTGTTCTATATTACAATCAAATTGCACAATATAAGGTTGCTCAATATCACAATATTATCAATATCTGTACAATGATGTAACGAAGATTCCCCGATATCGAATGTGGAATCGCCTATGGCCCCTAATATTTACGATTTTGCCAAATTGCGGCCTGGCCGGTCCGGCCTTTGGCAATGGAGCGAATTGCAAATTGGGGTATATCTTTCAATCGTAGATCCTCTAATATCCCCAATGTTAAGATGCGTTGCGATTTCAAGGATAGGCCTTGATAACCTCCAGATATATCCCAAACATGCAATTAAAATCAAGATAATAATTGTGAAGGCCTGGGTATCAATCAAATGGATTTCAATTCCTCTATCATTCTTTTCAGGATAATATGGATAATATGAATCCCAAATATCGCAATATGCACCGTCCAAAAACTCATTTGAGGCAGAAACGATTTGATATGATCAATAAATATAGTATTAATTAAAATAACTTATAATAAATAAATATTACAATTTTATTGAATAATTTTTAATAGTCGAATTACGATCTATTATATCAATGAATTCTTTCCATCAATATTTATACGACCGATTATTTCCGTAAATTTACACGATTATAATTCTAATTGACGCGAATAGATTTTAATTTTCAATTCTATTTCAGAATATTTTATTATTTTGATATTATACTATATTATAAATTTTGATATTATAGATATTTATTTTATACTATATTATTTTTGACATTATAACTTTTTTCTTCCTTATAATTATTTCTTGATTCATTGCAATGAATATAATAGAATTCAATTTTAATATAATATAATATGTTTATTACATGCATAAGATATATAGATTCAAATAGATATGAAGATATTAGGCATATTTCATTTCAAATATGTCCATATGGTAGCTTGCCTACGGAAAAATATTTTTGAATCGTTGTATTACCATTTTTATACCTGGTGCTAATTAGAAAATCATGTGGTATACCAATATTGTAATATAGAATTCTAATGATTCAAATCCTGCTACCTCTATCCTAAACATATATTATCCCTGGCATAACAAGCACTTTCCACAAGAATCGTCGATGTTTTTTTATCCTTTTCAATTATAATATTTATCATTTGGTAGGCAAATCAATATATTTATTTAAAAAAACACGGATTTGCGAATTCTAATTTCTTGCATGGACCAGATATAATCAAATAATTTTGAATATCATCTCAATAACAATATCTCTATAAATAAATATTAATCAATATCTATATTTATGCAAATATATATATATATACAAAATATATTTTAAATTAATATACATTTTTTTCAATATATTTAATAACCTTTATTATATATTATACAAAAATATCCTCCATATATATTCATAAAATATAGTATATTTATTGAATATATTTGTTTAGATTATTACATATCTAAATAATATATATATATATTTTAAATGACACCCCTAAAATGCATCATATTCAAAGACAATATTTCATAATATGACCACACAATTTTCAGAAAACCCAATAAATTATACAAAATAATATCATAATTATATATTACGCATCACGAATAAATCCCAAATATCATCAACAATTGTCCGATATTACTTTTACGAAAAAATAGCGTAAAAATATTACGGAAACTTTATTCAAATATTAAATGCAAATATTTACGTAATCATAATTGCATTTATCATCATAATTATTTATATAATTGTCGATAATATATATATATATACTTATAACTTTTCTATGGTCATATATCATGCACAAAGAACACCTCCCAAAAAAATATTTGCCTTAAATTAATTCAAATATAGATTGTTTAAATAATATTATATATAATATTATTTATATAAATATATCTATATTCTAATTAATTCAATATATAAAATTTATTATCTATCCATAATATATTTTTCAATATTTAATACAATATATATGTATAGAAAACATCAAAAAATATATCTCTATAAAATTTAAATACGACCAACCTTATAAATATATAATCTAAATATCAAATCCCCATAACCTCAAAAAATACTATATCAATAAAGTCCGCCGACTCCGGCCTAGCCGATGCCTAGGCGGGGCGGCGCCTGGGATACCGCAGGGCCAAGCAACCAGGGTGTTTCGCCGTGGCGAAGCTGCTGTTTGGTGGGGTGGCCGTCAGCAATTTTCTGCCTTAGGCAGACCTCAACATTTCTTTTTCATGGATGTCGAAGGCAACGTGCCAGGCAACGTTAGGCATTTTGGCTGGCTGCGACTCGCCCCGTTGAAACCTTCAGGGCCAAGGTGTTTCGCCGTGGCGAAGGTGCCTTTTCTTGGTGCCTCAGCTGCCAGGCAACTGGGTGTCGAAGGCGACGTGCCAGGCAATTGTTTTATGGGTTTCCGAAAGCAACGTGACAGGCAACATTAGGTACCGTTTCTTGGAGTTGTTTTCTGCCTTAGGCACACCTCAGCTGCCAGATAACTGGGCATCGAAGGCGACGTGTTTTATAGCCTTCTGAAGCCAACATGGAAGGCCATGCCAGGCAATGTGCCAGCCAACGATAGGCAATTGAAACCTTCAGGGCCGCCGTGGCGAAACTGCCGTTTCCTGACATGATTGTACAATGACGTAATTGGTATTAATACCTTAACTAATATATTATTGTGATGGATTCCGAATTTCAATTTAAACTAAATATCGTTAAAACAGATATCACGAAAGAATCAAAATAAAATCGCATATTACTATTATTTCACTTCCGGCAGAGAGAGCTCTGCCCGTGTTGGGCTTCAATCCGTAGATTGGCTGCGTCGAGCGCATCACTTGCCCCGGGCGGCATTGTTCAGTTCTCTTGGCTGCTCGAAAAAGGCACGAAAGGGTTGCAGGAAAGAAGGGAACTCCAGGCGCTCGTGAG